AAAGTAAAGTCATAGAAATGTATTAATTATTGGAGAAGCTGTCCTGTTAAAGGGGAGGGAGTGGTGAGAATGGCATTGCTATGTTTATAAGAACCTAATTCTTTAGTCTTTGAACTGAAAAAAAAATCAAGCTCAACATTTATAAAATAAATGCAAGTTCAGTTTATTTTAGAATGGAAGTGTTTAATTATGAAATTAGGCAGACGGAGGTCACTTTTGGCCAAAGTGGTACTCAAGAGTTTGGTCACAACGTTTGGAAAATGCTACGTTATCTGTACCTCTTTTTTGAGAATCATAGTGCACATTAGCATAATAAATAAATAAATAAGGAAACTTGCAGCAAAAAACTGTTTTACTTTATTTAATTCATCATTTTCCACAGTTGTTTGAGCACAAAACCTATTTTGTGCATGTGGCTGGGCCTGGTTTTGATAACCGGGGCAGCTGGTGGTAGTTATTCCCCATGATGAGACTGGCAATCAACTCCATGGGGGAATCTGCCGGGAGCAGCTAAGTAGCTGCTTTAGGGACTTGGTTTTCTTCCTGTATAGAAGGAGAAGCCATGGGAATGGTCTGTAGCTTTTTGGCATGCTTGTATTCTGCATGTAGCCGAGTCTTCATTCAGCAGCCTGCTGTGCTCTGCTGATCTTGATAAATGGACTTGAATCAATGGCCTGCCTGTGGTTTGGTAATATTGAGACTGTGCCTTTTCACTTGTCAACCTTGGGTTTGTCAGCCTTAGCAGCTAGCAGCTGCCTGAGTGAAGAGATGATTCTAGCTTTCGTGGGCCAGGAGCAAGAGGCAGAGCTGAAGCCCAAGGTTGCGGGGCCTTCACCCAGCCCCTAGAGCCTGGCACTTTGAACTCAGACTTCTAGCCTCCAAAACTGTAAAGAATAAATCCCTGTTTGCTCGAGCCATCCCATTTGTGTTGTCTTCTGTTAGAGCGGCACTAGGTGACCAAAACAATGGAACACCTATGAAAATCTCAGTTTTAGAAAAACTCTTCCAGGTCATTTTAATTCATGTTGTAGACTCTGAGTATCAAGTGCGTTAGGTACATAGACTAGGAGAATCTTTGACTTTCCTTTAGTGTTTTGCATCTTTACAATGAAGAATTTCTTTCTACAAGTTAATCCAGAATTTACCTGCTAATGTCCTCAGGTTCTATCCTTAGTGCAGTATTTACATTAACCTTGTTTGGCTACCTGAATTACCTCTTAAGTCATTTCATTCCAGGAGAAATAAAACAGGCCTTTTCTAACCATTGATCAGTACATGTTTTATACCCATAAAATTCTCTTTGTTCTCCTGCAAGCTGAGACAATAGTGTTTGAACAGTGCCCATAATATTATTTATAGTGGTATCGTGTTGTTAGTGCTGTGGAGTTGATTCCCACTCATGGCACCTCATATTGTACCATTCTCAATATATATAATGGTTTTTTATAACAGAACTTACCAATGTTGAAAATAGTAGAAAAACTAGTTCATAAAAAATTTGTGCTTTTTTAGTACTGCTAATAGATTTCTCCTCATATTTAAGCCTAGTTCTTTTACTACTCTATATGCTCAGTTAGTGTTTTTTTAATAGGATTTTACAAACTGTTTCTGACTGATATAACTCCCTAGTTTGAAGTGATCTTAACGAAATTTTTTTGCCAATTTGGAAACAGAATTTTTTAGAATATTCAATATCAAAAGATAAAATATAAAGACTGGAAGGACACAGGGAAGAAGCAACTATGGGGAGGAAGTGGGAGGGGACCTGACATTGTGATAAATTGTAGTCAATGTCCTAAGACAAAGTGTATGTGAGCTGCTGTACAGAAAGTGAATTTGCTCTGTAAACTTCCACCCAAATCACAATTAAAAAAAAACTATATATATATGTAAAGACTCTCAGAGAAGAGGCAGGGAGCAAAAATATTATAAAGTCAAGAATCTGCGTTTTCTTAGTTCTATTTTACACACAGATTCGCCCTGAGATGGTTTGTTGTTGCTCTGAAATTCCTGAAAGAATTAATCTTGTAGTTATTATTTTATTCATTCAATAAACTTACTATGTTCTAGACACTCTGGTAAATGCTGGTGATATAATGATCATGAAAACACAGCCTTTTCCCTCCTTGACCTCTCAATTCAGTGGGATACACAGACACATATAAATAACCATCATAGTAATTACAGTGGTAGAGCTTTGCGTAGGCTCTAGGAGCATTAAATTCTCCTACCCTAATCTGAAGAAAGGGAGAATTCTATTTTCATAATTCTTGATTTGTGACACACTACCAGTGATGATTTCAGGATGTCTCTTTTTCTTTATTCATTTGTTTAGTAGTGAAATAAACAATCCTGAATCCAGTACTCTATAACTTAGAGTATAACAAAATTTTGTGGGGGAAAAAAAGACCTTTATGTTATAAAACTGGGAGTAGATAATTGTTATATAAGTATTGAAAAAGTTACTAGTAATTTTGTATATATATTCCTCTCTCTCTCTCTATATATATATATATATATTTATTATTATTATTATTATTATCATGGAGTATACTTTAACCTGTGGTTTAGATTCAGCCATATAATGCTGACATTTTCTATGTAGTTGCTATGGATCTTCTTTATCCTTTTTAATGGTGGCATTAAGTGTTCCTGGTACCATAGTTTATTTAACCAATCCTTTCTATGAAGGAGCTCTGGTGGCACAGTGGTTAAAGAATTTGACTGCTAAACAAAAGGTCAGCAGTTCAAACCTACCAGCTGCTCCATGGAAGAAAGATGAGGCAGTCTCATCCGTAAAGATTTACAGCCTTGGAAACCCCTATGGGGCAGTTCTGCTCTGTCCTATAGGGATGCTATGAGTCAGAATCAACTCAGTGGCAGTAGGTTTTGTTTTGTTTTGTTCATCCCTTCTGTGTGAAGATTTAGATCATTTCTAATATTTCTTAATTATAAGACTGTAGTGAGCATACTTATACATATATTTGCATATTGTATTTGTTTACATTTTTCTATAGGATGTGTTTTCTAGAAGTAAAATTGCTGAGTCAAATCTTATACGTTTTAAATTTTTAATTTCTCCTGAAAAATATATTGTACAGGAACTCTAATACATTACTGGTAGGAGTGTAAATTGGTACAACTCTACTGGGAAACTGTTTGGGAGTATCCACTAAAGATGAACATAAGCACATATATCTAGCAGTTCCTATCCTAGACATGTACCCAACAGAACTGCTTACATAGGTTTTACCCAAAGACATGAACCGATGTCCATAAAAGCACTATTTTAATAATTAAAAACTGCAACACCAACAGTTGAAAGGATAAATAAATTATATTTACACAAAGTAATGCTCTACAACAAAGAGGGTGAGTGCACTACAGCTAAATAAAACAATATGCATAAATCTTACAAACATAATGTCAAGGTAAAGAAACTTAAAAAGAAAATATATTGCATTGCTTCTTTTAATTAATTTAAAAAAAAAATAGGCAAAATTAATCCACAATGTTAGAATTCAGAATTATGGTTACCTTTAAGGAGAGGGTAATGACAGGAATGGGACACAAGAGATTCCTGGATTTCTGGTTATGCTCTGTTTCTTAATACTAGTGTGGGTCACGTGGGCATGTTCCCTTTGTGAAAATTCAGGTATATACTTAGGGTTTTCTACCTTCTGGTATAGGAGCTCTGGTAGCATAGTGCCTAAGGCACTTGACTGCTAACCAGGAGGCTGGCGGTTCAAACCCACCAGCCACTCCTCGGAAGGAAGGTTGGGCAATCATACTTCCATAGTGATAACTGCCTCGGAAACCCAAGGAGGGGTCGCTAGGAGTCAGGGCCGACTCAATGGCAAATAACAACAACAACCTTCTAGTATATGTATCCCACTTCACTGAAAAGTTTACAGTAGAAGAGTAGAATTTCTTTTTTACATAAAGAACCACTTTTAAACTCCTACCAATAGTTCCTGTTTTCCTAAACTTTTGTCATTGTGATGCACAAAAAATCTTTGTCGATCTGATAAAGACTTAAATTTATTGTTTTATTTTTAACTTATTATTGAAACTGAGCACCTTTTTGTATATTTATGAACTATTCATTTCTTCTGTAATTTCCCTGCTATGTCCTTTGACCATTTTTCTATTACCATGTTTGTTTTTCTTATTGATTGGTAGACTTGTTGTATGTTATGGATTTATGGTCCATTATATATCAAAATATACTTTTTAAATAACAAATTCAAATTATCAAGATTTTTAAATAGTATCATGTGTTAAAATTTCTTCTAATAGTTAAATAGTTAAGTTAAATCTTAAGGAGAGACTGTTCTTCAACCTCCAACTCTGGTCACTAGTTCAAGTCTAAGGAGAGTAAAATCTGCCATCACCTATACTCCAGTATGGAGTATATATATGGGAGATGTTATTTGGCAGTCCTTGTTTTATTGCTTATATGTTAATATTCTCTTTATCTTGACTGGTCTGTTTTTTTCTTGGAACATGTTTGAACAGTGTTTTAAGTAAAACCTGAAACCATAAATTCATTCACTGGTTTTATATGTTACCTTAGGTTTTTTTTTTTTTTTTTTCCTTTATGCCTTTACTTTTCCCAATATGGAGAAACAGAGAAGAAACTAGAATTGAATTTGTTTTATTTATAGTAAATTCCACATTAATTATACATGTAAATTGTGTTTTTATAAAACAGCCCTTTAAACAACAGTGTGCCGCATGCTATTTCTTTTACTTTCTCAACCAGTACCAAGTTTCTAAGTGATCTCTTTAACTAAAACATTTTATTTTAGTAACTCAACTAGTCTTATGTAGTCTCACTGTTGTGTCTGTCTTTTTATGCATTTGGTTGAAGATGCCTTATTAAAATGATGTGTGTAAAGTATTTTCTAGACAAGTTTTAATGTTTCTCATAGTCATTCTGTACTGGCCTGTGAATTTTTAAATTGATTTTTGTTTTCATTTTAATATGTAATTCATAGACGCTCTGCTGTTGCCCGCATTCAGGAGTTCTTCAGGCGGAGGAAAGAAAGGAAAGAAATGGAAGAATTGGATACTTTGAATATTAGAAGGCCACTAGTAAAGATGGTGTATAAGGGTCATCGCAACTCCAGGACAATGGTACAGAATGCTCATGATGTTCTTTGGAGATATTGTGGTTTCCTAATATGTGTGTTTTTCCCATAAGGATTGTTTTTCATATGTTGCCAGCATGTTTCAATATAACGTTATTGCACCTTCACAGTTCTCTCTTTAGCTAAACATAGTCCTTTTAGTCCTACAATGTACCATGCAGACCATTATTTTTCACAGGGAAGCTCTGCCTTATTGAGGAAATATACTGAGTTTTGTTTATTTTTGTTTTTAGATTTTACAAGTAACTTCTTTTTTGCTGTCTCACACTTGCTTTCAACCTGAAAAGTTCTTAAAGATTTTTTTTTTTAAACTTATATTAGCACCTTTTGTTAGTTTTGGAGAGAAGGATTTGAATTTATGAAAATTAGGTTTATTGCAAAATAGAGACAGATTTATTGTAGTATAACCCTTTTGGGTTTGATAAATGAAGCTTTGTTTTAGTCACTTCCTCTCTCCAGCCTTTATTTCCTCATCTACGCAAGAACGGACCAGATGATCTCTAAGAACTCTTCTAGCTTTGATACTCCACAAGTCCATACACCCAATACCATATAATTTACTAAGAGAATCTTGCTAAGTGTTTAATGTAATGGTTACTCTAAACCTTCATTTCTAGAAAGTGTTATTCTCTTCATATTTGCATTGCATTATTAAGAAGTATCTACAGAATCTGTTTTTTTCAGGACCTATGGAAAAAATTCCATTGTGTTGGGGACATGTTAGTTTTCTCTATAGATATCACTGGGTAATAATTTAATCATATTTTTTGAAAGGATGATCATTATTAATAGATGTAACTGATTAACATTTCATGTGTTTTGCTGGTTAAAAACCTAGATGAAAATACTTAGAGAAAAGGGGTGAAAAAAAAGAAGATAAATATAACACTAGCTCCAAGTTAACAACAAAAAACTGACAGATAAAGTGATTGAAGAAATCCTGATCTGAAGTGCAAAGGTTTTTCATGATTCATTCATGTGCAAAAACAGCATCACCCTTTCAATATCATATTCCTTTTGTCACATTGCTTCATGAAAGAAAATGTTCTATATCTTTCCTTCCCAATTATAAAAATTTCTAATGGTTAATAAAAACATTGACACTTTATAAAGCTCAGATGGTACCAATTTTGGAAATTTCAATAACATATATGTAAGTTTCCATTATAATATCCAGAATCTATAAAACCCATTCATTCATTCTGCAATTATTTACTAATTACCTACTGCGTGCCAAGTATTGTTTCTGTGTCGGAAATATAGCACTGAACAAAGCAAAGCCCCTGCCCTCAAGGAACTCTTTTATTACTGACCACCATATTATCCTGCTGATGAATGTCCATCATGATTTTATCAAGATTTAAAGATACTAAAAGGCAAAGACTATTCAGTTTATTTTATTATTCTCTGAACCAGTTTACTTTTCAAACTTGATAATAGCATAAATCTTCAGTTTAATAGCTTGGATTTGAATGTTCTTGAAATTTACTGGGGGTTTTTTGTTGTTATTGTTGTTTTCTTTTTAATCTTCAGATAAAAGAAGCCAATTTCTGGGGTACTAACTTTGTAATGAGTGGTTCTGACTGTGGCCATATCTTCATCTGGGATCGGCACACTGCTGAGCATTTGATGCTTCTGGAAGCTGATAATCATGTGGTGAACTGCCTGCAGCCACATCCATTTGACCCAAGTAAGGTGACCCTTTATAGACAAGGGAGAGAAATTATTGGTATGATTTTATCAATTCAAAAATTTTTCTAGTTGCTGATATTCTAAGACTAATCCAAATTATCCTACTAGGCAGCCACTTGAGTCAATTATAGCCCCACTTGAATTTAAAACAAACAAAATACCTATTACCTCTTTTTGATAGAGAGTATAAGGAAGTAGGGCATTTTGGTGGCATAGTGCCTAAGGCACTTGACTGCTAACCAGAAGGTTGGCAGTTCAAACCCACCATCCACTCCTCCGAAGGAAGGCAGGGCAATCTACTTCTGTAGTGATACCACCTCAGAAACCCAAGGAGGGGTCACTATGAGACGGAGACAACTTAACGACACATAACAACAACAACAAAAAAAAGTAAGGAAATAGGTCCAAAAGTTTATTGTCTTAATATTTCTTCCAGTTTTATCAGTTTTGAGAGGTTCAGCATGACTGATCTCTTCACTGCTTACACAAATTGAACCCCTAAGCCTTTTTAGCCTTTCCATGTCTGAATTAATTTTCCAGAAGAAAAGCATTTGCTTACTCTTGCCTTTTATTTGAAATTGCCCATGTGTCTCGTAGAAGAGCAATGAATAAGAAAGAAATAAACTTCAGTGATTTAAAGATGATCTTAAAATTACATCTTAAGGTAACTTTTAGGAAATCTTTATAATAATGTTCTCAGTTAACAGCCAAATGTATCAGTACAGTTTCCATTCAAGTTCAATTTTGCTATATAGATATTATATGTTATGTGTGTGTATGTGTGTATATGTATAAAGAAGGAAACACATACCATGTGTCTATGATGTATATTAATATATAAACTTTATTTCTAGTTCTAGCCTCATCTGGCATAGATTATGACATAAAGATCTGGTCACCACTGGAAGAATCGAGGATTTTTAACCGAAAACTTGCTGATGAAGTAAGATCTTTATTGTACTTACTATCAACCATATTTGTTTTATTCCTAAAACATTTTCCTAAGAAGACTCAAAGCAGCTCATTATTAGTTGCCATCATAAAAGTTACTGTAGTTAAAGAGGTCAAATTTTAAGATGAAAACATAGCTATAATACTGTTGTTGTTGTTGTTATGTGCTGTCGAGTCGAACCCCACTCATAGCGACCCCTCCTTGGGTTTCCAAGGCAGTATCACTACGGAAGTAGATTGCACCATCTTCCTTCTAAGGAGTGGCTGGTGGGTTTGAACCGCCAGCCCTCTGGTTAGCAGTCAAGTGTCTTAGCCACTATGCTACCAGAGCTAGAGAGGTAATATCGAAATAGTACCTTGCTAATTATAATATTATTAATAATACCTACTATATTAGGTGTATTACAGCTTAAGAAAAAAGATTTGACCATCTGTAGTTATTGCAATAATAGATCATTTTAAAAATCTGCCCTTTTAAGAAAATGAAAATAAGTTTTATTCTACCCCAAAGAACCAAACCCATGGCCATCGAGTCAATTCTGACTCATAGCAATCCCCATTGGGTTTCCAAAGCTACAAATCTTTATGGAAGTAGCTTGCCTAACCTTCCTCCTGTGGAGCAGCTGGTGACGTTGAACCACCAGCCTTCTGGTTAACAGCCAGATGCCTTATCCACTACGCCACCGGAGCGCCTAATGTTGTTGTTGTTGTTATGTGCCATCGAGTCAAACCCGACTCATAGCGACCCCTCCTTGGGTTTCTGAGGTGGTATCACTATGGAAGTAGATTGCCCCAACTTCCTTCCGAGGAGTGGCTGGTGGGTTTGAACCGCCAGCCCTCTGGTTAGCAGTCAAGTGTCTTAGCCACTATGCTACCAGAGCTCCCAGAGCGCCTAACAGCTACCCTTTATAATCTTAGCTATTTTGTTTTATATTTTGAGTTTTTCTTAAAAAAGAAATGAGACTTTCTTACTTTCAGAATCAATAGGTAGCAGAATGAATGATTGGAGTAACTTTTCCTTCATTACTCCAAGATTTCCTCAGCTTATTGCTAAAGCAGTAGTTTTTAAACTGAACTTTGTGAAGCTGTAGGTTTCTTGCAAGATTGGAGGAGGGAAAGCAGCTGACAGGAAGACTGGATTCAGGACCTTTCCTCCTCACTTCAACCAGAATTTTTATATAATGGGTTTTCATACAAGATTTCTTATAAAAAATAAGGGTCAACTTATTTTTAAAATATTAGAATTATTTTTGAAACATTAGAAAGTTGAAAAGCCACTACTCTAGTGCAAAGTTGACAGTCCACAGCACAATTCCCACATATACTTTCCCTCACTTAGAAGCCATTTACAAAACACTGGTTCTATGTCAGATGCAGTGTTCGCAGTTTATAGTCTAATAGGAAAGTCAGACAGAGAAACAAACTGTAGAATACAGAGTGATCAGTGTCAGTCAGAGATATGTGCAGAGTGTTTTAGGAGCATAAGGGAACAGCCATACTTGTAAATAGGTTAGCTGGGATGAGGAAGTCTTCACAGAAGAAATTGGACAGAAATTTGGAGTAGTGATATTTGACCAGGCAAAGGGGCATTCAGGACAAAAGGATCAGCATGTGTCAAGTTATTATAAGGTAAATGAACCATCAATATGGCTAGAACCCTAGGGTATATGTAGAAAAGTAACTCAGACTAGAAAGGTAGGTTGGGGCCAAATTGTAAAGGCCCCTATAGAATACCCTAATGTAATACCACTGGAGACCTGTTGAAAGGTTACAGTAAAATGATCAGATTCAGAAAACCAAACCCACTGCTGTTGAGTTGATTCCAACTCCTAGCGACCCTGTAGGACAGAGTAGAACTGCCCCACATCTTTCTCCCTCAGAGTCAGTCAGCAGCACTTAGCCACTGAGCCAGCGAGCCTTCTAAAATGATCAGAGTAGCATCCCTTTCTTTTTCCTCATACTCTTTCTTCCCTGGATGTCCCCCCTGTCCCTTTGCTATGCTGTTTGCTCATCCTCTTTCCTTTTTCCTTTTCTCTTGTTTATACACTAGCTCTCTAGGTGGTTGTGGATATTCATTTAGTCTTATTCTTGTATCTTAAGACTCAATTCACTGCTAACTCTTGTCCAGACTTTTTTTTTCAAGAGCATTTGCCTCAGTCGAGATAACTTCTCAAGGGACCCACATGATCAGGGATAATTATTTAACACTGTTGTTGTTGCTGGGTGCCGTCAAGCGCATTCTGACTCGTAGCAACCCTGTGATACCAGATGGAACACTGGCCCGTCCTCCACCATTCTCACAATGCTTGAGCCCATTGTTGGAGCCACTGCGTCAGTCCATCTTGTGTCACTGAAAGTATCAGTTCTGCTATAGGGCAAAATACTGAGCAGGCACAAAGTAGACTGCTCGAGGAAACAAACTATAAGTAAAAGCTAAATTTGTAAATGTTTTAAATATTTGTAAATTTGTAAATATTTTAAATAGCCTCAAAGTTTGCTTTATCCTTCTGCCACAATGAAAGAGTAGTATTCTCTGATCATACTATATCAGATGCAACTTAAACTAATTATTTGCTATTGGGTAGCCTTAAGGATGCCTATTTTATCCTTAAGGATAAAATATGGTCATCATATTTATACATAATGAAGTAACTCCTCCTGGAACCTACTAATAAGCTTTTGACCGTACTCCTAATCTTCAAGGAAAAGGTATATTTACTGTGTGATTTTTGACATGGTCATTTAACTTACCTTTTAGGTTATAACTCGAAATGAACTCATGCTGGAAGAGACTAGAAACACCATTACAGTTCCAGCCTCTTTCATGTTGAGGATGTTGGCTTCATTGAATCACATCCGAGCAGGTAAGAACTTTCAGTTTCAGTACTTTCTACATTGTTATTATATTTGAAAAACATGTTGTTACTTAAAATCTACTTTAGCAGGATTTATATAATTTTCTTAACATCATATAATAAAGGCAGTTAAAGCTGAACCTGTGAACTCTTGAACTTAGCACAGGAACTTACCTCATGAACCAGTTTTATTGAAAAGTGGTCGGAATGAGAAGATAGTCACGTGAAAACTTTGATCAGTTGCTTTGTTTCCCCAATGTGGAAGAGGATCATGCCATAACACTTAAGTTATATTTCAGTAAATACCTTTTACTGTATTTTACTGTCTGTTTGGTCAGAGTCAGTTATAGACCAGACAAAAATAAATGTAACATGCTAAGAAGGTTGAAACAGATACCTCAGTGTGTTTTATCAATTTTTTTTTTTCTTTTTGATAAACTGAGATTCAGTGTCATGGATATATAAAAATGCATATATTGCAACTATTATTCTGAAAGAAATTGAATAATCTGTGTTCAAACAATAGAAATGATCTGATATCTATTATTAAAAAAATATACCATTTAATAATAGTAATAATATTTATTGAGTATCTGTAATGTACTCTATAAATATTTCAAAATGGTTTTTCATGTATCTCCAGGCCTTTACAAAAGATGTTTGTAATGATTTACCCAAAGTTACACAACTGGTAAAACAGTGAAGCCTGAACTTGAAATCAGCTTCCAAGCCTTACTCCCCTTTGACCTAGAAATTTCACTCACAGAAATATGTTCATGTCATTAATATGCCTTGCAAGCCTCCAGGTGATCTGATCTTAAACGACTTTTCTAGTTCATTTATAGTACTTTCCTTCTCTATACTCCATCTACTCTAGCCCTCTTAAAATCTTTTGGATCTACCAGACTGTTTTTTATAATTATGCTGTCCACTGCTATCCTTGCGGTTTGGTAGGATAACTTCTACTTATCCTTCAGGTCTATATAAGCAGTGGCTTAAATATAACTTCCTCAGAGAGAGGAGGAATGAAGAGAGAAGTATTCTAGGAAAAGTAAATAATATATAGCATTTTCAAAGCCCTGAAGGAGAGGGAATGTGTGGAATTGAAAAAAGCCCCATTTGTTTGAAATTAAGAGAATTGGAGAGAAAGTAATCCTCAAAATATACATATTAGCTATTACCAGAAAAGAGTGAAAATTTCATATTGTTGTTGTTACGTGCTGTCAAGTTGGACCCAACTCACAGAGACCCCTCCTTGGGTTTCCAAGGCAGTATCACTACGGAAGTAGATTGCCCAACCTTCCTTCCGAGGAGTGGCTGGTGGGTTTGAACCGCCAGCCTTCAGTTAGCAGTCAAGTGCCTTAGGGAATACAAATAACAACAACAAAAAATGTTAATGGCCCAACAAAATATTTTTGCAAGACTTCTTTGGGCCTTCTATGTTATTAAATTTGTCACTGTAACAGCTCTTGATCCGTTTTCTTCAATACAGTGAATGACCCTTAAAATTTATTCATTTGGATTTCACATATAAGGAGGCACTATTTTATAGAACAACCACAAAAAAAAAAACCTGCTAATTATGATTCATAAAATTTACTTGTTCTTAAAAAGTGTGTATCTTCCTCAGAGTTTTCTATAGATAACTAATTCTCCTTCCATTTGTACAAGAACCTTTCTAAATAAGTGCTAATGTGGCATTCCTTTGTTAGCTAATTCCCTACCATCCTTTGTTTTTTAGTATTACATGTTTTATAATACAAAAATTCCCTTTCTTCTGTTTTCTTTTTGCCAACAGTCAAAATAGATAATTTCTTGTCAGTTTAGCCAACTTGGTTGCTTCATTAGCTCATCCTCTTCTGTTATGTAAAAGCCTATACAGAAAAAGGTGTCTAACACTTTATGTTTCTGATGCTTAACATGCCTAGGAGCTCTGGTAGTATAGTGCCTAAGGCACTTGACTGCTAACCAGAAGGCTGGCGTTCAAACCCACTAGCCACTCCTCAGAAGGAAGGTTGGGCAATCTCCTTCCATAGTGATAGTGCCTCAGAAACCCAAGGAGGGGTCACTATGAGTCGGGTCCATGGCACATAGCAAGAACAACAAACAACATAGCTAGGAATTTGATAGGTAAATTAGGCAATCACTGTTTTTCTCTCCTAACCTTCAGTGTCCAGTATTCCCAGTGCCGTAATGTATGTGTATTCAAGAGACTTAGTAGTGGACTTTGGCACAATAAGCACACCTAGCCACAAGATAACTCAAACCACCCAATACTCCAAAGATGCAGGGGAATAGACTTGAGACAACTCTTTCCTTCTAGAGGTATGGTTTTTTAATGAAGGGTACACATCAGATCCCCTCTGGGGCTTTTTAAAATTATGTATGTCTGAATCCCACCCCATAAAACTTCCGATTCATTTGATTCAAGTAAGATTTGGGCTTCTGCATTATTTATTTATTTTTTTTTTAAAGCAACCAAAATTATTCTCATGAATTCCTCACTAAAGACTAGTAGTCTGGCCTCTTGGGATATAAAGGTGGTTCTGAGATCCCTATAAGTTTTGATAAAAGGTAGTTCTGAGATCCCTATAAGTTGTGATAGGCTTTGGAGAGATAGTAATGGGTTGTACGGACCATTCCAGACTCTTCTAGAATATATTAGAATCTGATTAAGTTACTCCCCTGCTTAAAATTCTCCTGTGTCTCCCTATATTCTTGGGATAGAGGCCAACTGTGTTAACATGGCTTATACAACCTGTATTGTCTCTTGACATTCTCCCTTTCATACCTCTGGATTTTTGCACATGCATATTTTGATAATCATAGTGTTCCCTATGATGGGTTTTTAGAGGCTAACATCACATTGAATTCACAAACACTTGCCAAGTCATGCACAAATTCACTCCATCGGCAAATCCTGTTAACTACTCCAGAATATCATCCATATCCATCTACTCTTGGGTCTCCCTACTTCCACTCTTTCCTCCATACAACCCAATTTCCACACAGCAGCTAGAAGGGATTCTTTTAAAAGAGGTCAGTAAACTTTTTCTGTAAAGCACCAGATAGTAAATATTTTAGTTTTTGTGAGCCACACAGTTTCTGTCACAACTACTCAACTCAGTCTTACAGGACAGAGTAGAACTGCCCCACGGGGTTTCCGAGGCTATAAATCTTTACAGAAGCAGACTGCTGCATCTTTCTCGCATGGAATGCTTGGTGGGTTCAGCCAATCGTTTTAACCACTATGCCACCACGGCTCCTTATTTATTAAGAAAGTAAAATAAATTCTTTGTGGAGTAAAGCCTGGAAAATAAAAATACTTTCATGGAACACAGATCTTATTTGGGGATTTTTTTTCTCATATCCTTCCTGTTCTCCTTCCCTCCTTCCCCCCCCCCCCGCCCCCATGTATGTCTTAGGTAAGAAGCTTAATCTCTTCATATCATACCTTCCCCAGCCAAAAATAATTTTCTGAAGAAATATTTCTAACAGAGAAGAAAGGACACTTTCCACAAACTTAAACCATATTTACAAAGCAATTTTGGCCTTCTCTACCTTTGAAAATAATGGATATAGAAGTGTTTCTGATTTTAATTTGAAAGAACACAGCATTTCTCAAATCTCTTTGATCTATAATTACCAAACAAAAATTTGTGAAAGTGTTGAACTGCTTACCGAGTTTACTGTTCCAGTAGCACATGTGAACAGATTTTATTCAAGTTATTCTTAGAAATTGGGTTTATGTCCCAAGAGATCACTCTGCAGCAGTTGAAGGAGTTGAATTTAAGGAGTGAACAGATACTCTGCCCTCCTCATTCCAGAAGCCGCTGTCAATTATTTTGTGATAAATTGTAAGAGACTTTGGTCCTCACTTGTCTCCTTATGTCTTGCTTTGGACTCTGGTTTAAATGCTGTAACATTTCTTCTTAACCCTGTATTTCTGTAACTTCATTTATAATGTGACAACAAAAAGAAATTTGAGGAAGAAGCCTACAAACTTCCAAAGGGTGATACTGCTTTCTGTTTTCCACTGATATGACACAAGGGTTTTTTGAAGAGATACCTACACGTCACTTATCAACTATCTTATTATCCGACATTTCACACTTAAAACAATATGAACTGTCAGATGAGAAAAAGTAAAAAAATCTACTATTCAATTGTTTTGTGCATTAACGACATATGAATGGCAGTAGTGAACACTGTGGTGGGAGGCAAGAATAACACTGGCTGTGATGGTTAAGATTATGTATCAACTTGGCTAGGCTGTGATTCTCAGTGGTTTGGCAGTTATGTAATGATGTAATTTGGCAGTTACATAGTGGTATAATTTGGCAGTTAATACAATGATGTAATCATCCTCCATTTTGTGACCTGATACATTCATCCTCCATTTTCATATAACACCTATTTTTACATAATGACCTGGTCTTTGGAAACTATGTCGATAAGTGAGGAGTAGGTGTAATCAGTTATATCCAGGATTTCCACTTATGATGACTTTAGTAGGATGGGAACTTAATGTTTTGTTCTCTCACATCACACAGTAAAAATCTTGGAATCTCTTTTATACTGACACCCCTTAGGTAGCCATTTATTGATCAGTAATCCTTCCACTGTGTTTTGATTATTTAATAATCAGGGAAGATCTGTTCAGGAGCTCTGGTAGCATAGTGCCTAAGACACTTGACTGCTAACCAGAAGGCTGGCAGTTCAAACCTACCAGCCACTCCTCAGGAAGAATATTGGGCAATCTACTTCTGTAGTGATACTGCCTTGGAAACCCAAGGAGGGGTCGGTATGAGTCAGGTCCAACTTGACGGCACATAACAACAACAACGAAGATCTATTCAAGTCTTACTTTGTTCATTCAGTTTACAAATGTGTATTGAGTATTTATTACATAATAATAATAGCTAAAAGTTTTATGATTTTGATTATAAATCATATACACATACATTATCTTAATTCCTTAAGCAATTGGTGATACTATTATATTATTATAGTATAGCCCTTTTCATAGTTACGTGTATGTAACTAAGTAAGTAATCTGCTCTCAGAGTGAAACCAATACATTGATTTTATAAAATTGAATAATAAAAAAATTTAACATTGGAATTAAATCAGCATTATTAAAAAAAAAGCCAAACCTATTGCCATCAAGTCGATTCCAATTTATAGCAACCCTATAGGACAAAGTCTCTTGAGGTTGTCAAGGAACTCACATTGCTTGGTTCTACAATCGAGGCCAATGGAAGCAGCAGTCAGGACATTAGACGACATGTAGCACTGGGTAGGTCAGCTGCGAAGGAACTCTTTCAAGTGCTGAGGAGCAAGGATGTCTCCTTGAGGACTAAGGTGTACCTGACAGAGGCCATGATATTTCCAAATGCCTCATATGCATGTGAGAGCTGGACAATGAATAAGGAAGACTGAAGAAGAGTTGATGCTTTTGAGTTGTGGTGCTGGCGAAGAATGCTGAAGGTACCATGGACTGCCAAAAGAACTAACAGATCTGTCCTGGAAGAAGTGTAGCCAAGATGCTCCTTGGAAGCAGGGATGGCCAGACTTCATCTCACCTACTTTGGTCATGTTGTCAGAGAGGACCATTCCCTGGAGAAGGATGTCATGCTTGGTAAGGTGGAGGGTTGACAAAAGAGGGGAAGGCCTTCAACGAGATGGATCGACAGAGTGTCTGCAACAATGGGCTCAAGTATAGCAGGGATCATGGAGCTGGTGCGGGATTGGGCGGTGTTTCATTCTGCTGTGCGTGGGATCGCTATGAATCGGAAGCGACTTGACGGCACCTAACAAGAACAACATAGGACAAAGTAGAACTGCCCCATAGGGTTTCCAAGGACGTAAATCTTTATGGAATCAGACTGCCTTTCTCCCACAGAGCAGCTGGTGGGCTCTAACCTGACCTATTTGGTTAGCAGTGGAGTGCTTAACCACTGCACGACCAGGGCTCCTTGAAGTCAGTGTGGTGGTGTTAGAGGCTGTCAAGTTGGCTCCAACTCCTAGCAACCCTGTGTACAACAGAACAGAACACTGCCCAGTCCTGTGCTGTCCTCACAATCCTTGCTATGCTTGAGCCCATCATCACAGCAACTGTGTCCATCTTGTTAAGGGTCTTCCCCCTTTTTGCTGACCCTCTGCTTTACAAGTATGGCACCGTTCTCCAGGAACTGGTCCCTTCTGACAACATGACCAAAGTAGGTGAGATGAAGTCTGACTGTTCTTGCTTCTAAGGAGCATTCTGGCTGCACTTCTTCCAGAACAGATTTGTTTGTTCTGGCAGTCCATGCTATTTTCAGTATTCTTTGCCAGCAATACAACTCAAAGGCATGTGGTGATTTAATCTAATCCTATTGGACTTACTAATGATGAGTCCCCTTTATATATATACAGTCCCTGGTGTCACTGACCTAGGATCCAACAGGAGTGGTTAAGGCCTCTACATCCACTGCCATAAAGTCACCTGTTAGGTAGCCATTTAGTAGAACTGCCACATAGGGTTTCCAAGGTTGTTAATCTTTACAGAAGAAGCAGACTGCCTAATCTTTATCCTATGGAGTGGCTGATGGGTTGAACCACTGACCTTTTTGATTAGCCTTAACCACTGTGCCACCAGAGCACCTTTTAATGCTCTATAGATAATATGTAAAATCTCAACATTCGGCAGTATATGGTAGTTAAGTAGTCTTCTCTTGCTGCTGACAGTAGGATTGAACGTTACCCTATGTCTGTCTAATATTTTCCAGAACGAGTTCCATCCTAGTGGTGGTAGTGATTTTATGCTGCTGCCTTCTTTTTATGTAAATGTATCTTCTCTTAGGAAACATACATTTATTTATTCAGTAAACATTCATTGAACATCATATTCTAGAATCAGGACATAAAGATTAAAGACCTCACTCTTGCCTCCAAAAGTTCACAGTCTAGCCTTCAATAAGACATGCAAGCAAATTATTACTACAATGTGATCAGTACTACAAGGCTTATACAAGATACTCTGGAATGTGGAGGAGGGAGTTAATAATTCTGCAGGTTGGGTGTTTGAAGAATGCAGGGGAAATTTTCACAAAAGGGATAATGGCCATATTGAGACAAATAAGTAGATCCTTCATAACTGAAGAAGTGGGAGAAGTATCCCAAGCAAAGGAACAGCGTAAGTCATGAAAGCTTGAGAGAACACGCTGTGTTTCAAGGATGCAAGTATTTAGCCTGGCTGCAGTATAAGGTGCCTGGATGAGCATGTCTGGAGATGAGACTGCCCAAGTAAGCATTCACTATAGTTTTTAATTATATATTCACTTAAGTATTTAATCTATGTAAATTCCTTCAGGGCAGAGAACATGTTTATTTTGATCACCATTGTATCCTCAGTTGTTAGCACAATGCCTGGAACATAATAGGTATTTAATTTAAAACATCTTTTTAGAAACAGAATTACACAGATCTTCAGGAGTCTCTGCCATACATCCTCCCCCTCAGTGGCACCTGACATACCTCCTTAGGATCCTAGACTCCAGGGAGAACACAGTTTGAAAACCATGTATCAAGATCTTTAGGGTTATTTGTTTATTATTATTGTTGTATGTGTTTTAGAATTACATGCATATTCAAAGCTAATAATGCGATGTTTCTTGGGGTCAGCGTGAGTCAGGGGCCAACTTGACAGCAACTAAGAAGAGGAAAATGAAAAATACCTACTGCACAGTGGTGACCCGAGTTTTACAGACGTGTTAGATTATATACATTTTAATCAGTTTTCAATAAAAAGCACTGAAAATTCAATAAAGTTGTAATGTAAAAGCATTTCTTTTGGTGATTCCCACATCTGTGTTTTCTAGACCGCCTGGAGGGTGACAGATCAGAAGGCTCCGGCCAAGAGAATGAAAATGAAGATGAAGAATAATCAACTCTTGTTGGCAAGCACTTAAATGTTCTGGAATTTGTATAAGACATTTATTATATTTTTTTCTTTACAGAGCTTCAGTGCAATTTTAAGGTTTTGGTTTTTTTGGAGTTTTTCCCTTTTTATGGGATAACCTAACATTGGTTTGGAATGATTGTGTGCATGACTTTGGGAGCGTGTGTATAACAAAATTAGCGAAATATTTTAAAAAATTTGCCGTGAATGAGGAGTGCTAGACGATGCAAAGTGCAATATTTTCCCTAACCTTCAGATGTGGGAGCTTGGATCAATGTTGAAGAGTAATTTTCATTATAGTGAAAATGTTGGTTCAAATAAATTTCTATACTTGCCATTTGCATGTTTGTTGCCTTCTAATTAAAGAAGTTGGTTGTTTTAAGATACCCTGAATTTGATTTTTTATTTAATGCTTGGCTTTTACCACTTTGCTACTCTGACCCATGTTTTTTTAATCTGTTCTGTAACAGAAGGGGACAGTCCTTCTGTATTCTCTAGATTTATTAACCTTTTCCATTTTGACTTCTAGTGATAGGGTCACGTAGCAAGGCTTTGTCATTTTTCCTTGCAAAGGACTCTGTCTTCACCTCCAATCATCTCCTCATGATAAAACCTCATTCGTTACACTAGTACAGGAGTTAGGCTTAAAGAGTAAATCCTTGAGAGCAACATGGAGGGCTCATGGATTATATACAGCACAAGCTCCTTAAGGCTTCTGGCCCTTCTCACTCCTCTGTCTAGATTGCCAGGAAAAGCTTTTGACTATCCATTCTTTTAATCCCTGATTCTTCCATAACTCTAGTGTTCACCTCCATTCAATGTTAGCCATTCACACCCAGACCTGTATCTTTTAGATTATGACCTGGAGCTCTTCCTGCAGACATAACCAACTAGTCATCCTCCTTCCCCTCCTAAAATATTCATTCCGTGGGTGTCTTTCCCTAAATCTGTACACATGCTCACATCTCTTCAATCCATTCACAAATAAGTAAAATCTTTCCTTGAGACTAAATTATTCTCTGTTCATATATTGTCCAGTTCCTCCCCTCCTCTTGTCATCCAGGTGAGCATAGTACATATTCATGGCTTCTCTTTGCTACTTTCCGGATGTCCAAAGTCTCCTTCAGAAGCCAGACCTGCCTTGCTCTATCTACCTCATGGAAACTTATAGGCAAAAAGCAAGCATGGGAAAGTGGCGTCTTGGTTCTTAATGGGCCAAAAGGATGATTTCAAAAGTACTCATTATTTCTTTTCTTCTCATCTTATCTTACACACACACATAGCATTAGCTATAATACGTTTGTGAGATGGCACTTTTTTTTTTTTAAGGTGGCCTTTGTAACCAAGGGAATGTCTTTCAGTTTCCAGTCAGTGAGCTCTTGGGAACTATTTCACTTATTAATGACAGCAGGTAACCCCAGCAACTTCCCTTTGCCTGAACTCCAGCCAGTACCTGCCTTAATCCTACTGGCTTGTCAGCCAACAACTGGAGAGGAAATTGAATTACATGCTTGGACCAATCATTGAAATAATTTTGAGATAGTCGTCCAGTGCTGCCTAAATTGTAACACTGCCACAAAAAAGAAAATGCAGCATTGTCAAGGTCAGATCCATGTGATCACTCATCTATCGGCAGCAGCACCAGCCTTGACCTACCTCTCTTGACTACAGTCAGGGCAAATATCAGACCATCAGTGAGTGTGCATCAGTGGATAAAAGTGGACAAAGCCAGCAAAAATCTGGTTTGCCATGGTCATTTGGGCCCCTCTCTGTTGATGCTTTTAGTGTTTTTGCTGAAACAGGTGCCTTTAAAAAAAAAGTAACAATGTCTTATTGGCTACTTGCCAGATAGTTGAAATGTTCTTATATTCAGGAACCCAAATATCCTGAAGGGAGTGACTAAGTTAGATACTAAAACATAATCCTTCCCCAGCTGGGCTATGGGTAGACTCATAGCTGTAGCCAAGCAAAGCATCTGGGTCTTGTATGGAGACCTGGAATTTCTCCTTACCACAGATGTCTATAAGCCCAGGGACACCTGCTACTGAACAAAAATAGGTTGATGGTTAGTTAGAAAGTAACTGTTCAGTTACCTCAGTAAGCTCAGCTAACCTTCAATTTCTAGCTCTTACTCTGGACAAAAGCACATGTAGCCATATTAGTAAAAGTGGAAAATGGTTAAAAGGGAAAAAGGGCCCAAGCTTTAGCCAAACAAGGTAATGTTTGAACTTTCTGGAAAGTTCAAGAATCTTAGTTTCTGTTTTCCAATTAGTTTTAGGACCTGGTCAAGGAAACTGACTTCTCTGGGCTTCTGTTGCTCCTGTTTAATATGTGAGCAATCATGTGTCTGCCTATGTCACATAGGTATGTTAGGACCACATGAAACTTTAGGGCTTTACAGAGAAGGCTGGTGTAAGTACACGGTGTTATTTCTTCCACTATAAAGAACAGTTACTATGCTACAGACCTAATAGCAGTGTTGGTAAAGTGGTAGGGCAGAGGTTACTCGGGAGTGCAGTCATGGAGTAACTCTGGCAGAAAAGCAATAGAAGACAGAAATGGTATCTATCACAGGAATTAGGCCCTCCACGTTTAATGATTTTGCCACTTTGATAATGTGTATAACTCAGGAGAGCAAGGCAGGTCAGACGAACAATCAGGGAGCCAGCCAAGAGGAGACATTCCACTGAGGCAGAGCTGACAAGTCCTGGCCTTCTCCACGATTCAATGGGTGTGGGGGGGAGGGTGACAGGGACAGACTGGACAGTTAGGTGACTGGGCCCTACATCTCACCCACTCACTCAGAACAATGAATATGACATTCAGTGCTGCCAGGTGAAGGGGGTCAGGGAAACAGGGGTGGGTTTTATGGACTGACATTGTTCTGAGGTTCTTCAGTGCTGGGTTAGATATTTGGGTGTGTATGTGGAGCACTGTCATCTATTAAACTTCTTTTTAAAACTTTGGCTTAAGAGTGTTTATTGTGTATGTCTTGGCCATGCTAAGTAGGCTCTTTAACAATACTCCATGAATCTAACACCCACACCCACCCATACTCAAACCTGCAATTCTGCAACAATGTGCCCCATCCTGCTTAAGCTCCATCTTCTTTTTAGCTGTGTATCCTGGGAAGGGAGGCTTTAGGGAACGGTGGAAGGTGGGGGGGTACCCAGCAAAGTCTACAGCACAATTAAAATTTCCACAGCTGTACACATACCAAAAACATTTAATCAGGTAAACAAGAGTTTCTAAATACACTTTTACTTGTTTATAAATATTGATTTATAATAATCCTAAACATTCTTCTTATCTTTTAAAAAAAAAATCCAAAAACTTCAAGTTAAATATATTTCAGGATTAGCTTGTTTCTGTATTGTTTTGAAACTTGGCTTTTAACCACTTCTGCATCCAGGAGTCCATTATCAGAACACAGTGCTGACAGACAGACTTGTTCCCAGGCAAAGAGGTTTTCTCCTCCACTCTTGGCATGGCTTTGCCTGCCCAGGGCTGAGAGGTTCCCTGGGACTGTCATTTCCTCTGGGAGAAGCAGACTTGCCTGTGATGTGTGATACTTCAAAATGCACACTGTCAAAAGGAAAAACAGAAGTGGCTTCTAACTCCTAAGTTACTTATACTGCTCAGGAAAACATCCGAGGGAATGTATACAGCGTTGTGTATTAGGGTTTCCTGAAAATAACACTGGCCAAAATTGTGCTTTTTGTAATCTTGTGCAGATTTGAGCTTGTGATTTGAATTCATTCCAATCACTTTCCTTGGGCTTGTGGTTTTTAGGTCTGGCAAACAGATCATCTTCATGTCTCCCAACTTCCTTGGTTGACAATAGTTTTTTCTCCCCACCTAATAAAGCTGCCTATGCTTCTGATAATGACTTTTAACTCCACCTCGCCTTCCTTGAACTCCGAAACTGGTTCCTTCCTTTTCTCGGCCACATGTTCAAGACCTGAAGTTTGGCCCTGACCCTGGCCTAACTCACTCTGAAACCTTGGACAAGTCACTTCAATTCCCTGGGCCTCCCTGGATCCTGTGTCCTTCCTCTTCAACACACAAGGTGGGTAAGTGCCCCTTGTGGTCCTACATGACTGTGATCACAGCCATTTCCCTTTACCCAAGGGTGGTTTCCCATCTCAACAGCCAAGGCCAAGACCCTCGTTGCAGGACAAGAGTTGTTCTCAGCACTCAAGGGCACATCTAGGTAAGATGTCCCCTTTGGGCTGTAAAGTTGAACTTGCACTGCAATTTGGGGCTCTACGTCAGACTCTGGAGCCATTCGGGGCAACTCAGAACTTTCTTTGACTCTGCTCAAACAGGCCCAGTAGCATGAGGGATAAACATTTTTAATAAAAAAGGTCATTCCTACTCCCTCAAACCTCTTGAATTCCAAATGTTACTTAGCCTTTCCTCCTGCTCTTGCCTTCCCCTTCCTCACCCTCTCCCTTCTTTCCCAAAACATGCTTTTGTGCTGTATGGCAAACATGACAATTCCAGCAACAACCTTCAATACCTCATATCTCAGATAACAGTTACCTTTTCAGGATTCTCACTTCTGGTCACAGAGATCCCTGTCAAACAGAAATAAGACACTCACCTCACAAAAGTACTAAGAAGAACTATCAATTCCTCAGCATCAACTACACGTCAGGTCATGTGCTGGACGCTTTACCAGTATCTCCTCATGCAGCCCACAAAACCACCTTCTGAGGAAGGGCTCTCTGGATTCTGTGTGTCCCCACATAGATTACAAAACTCCATTTTACAGATGAAGAAACTGAGACACTGAAAGAAAGATTTGAGTCACTCGGCCAAGAATACCCAGCGAACAAGTGGCAGAGTGAGATCTGAACCCACCAGATCCTGCACTATTCCTGCTCAACCACATGTACACTGAAGGGCCTAACACAGTGCCTAGTGCACAGTAGGCACTCAAATGCTGAATAGTCAGAAACACAAATGCACTCAGTAAATGTTAGATCCCTGTCACCTTACAAGTTTCGAGACAGGAGACAGCCTGGGTTCAAGGTTAAATCGTAGGCACAGGTGTATCTTGTGTGCAGTTCAGAGGTATTTCTGGGCATCCTGTCAGGATGGAAAAGGATTCACAGAGTTAAGTCTAAACAGGCTAAGAGCCCTCACTATCAGAGCACATTTCCTGCCTCTCCAGTCCCAACTCTGACTACCATGGCCTCTGAGCAGCTGCTTCCTTCAATGAGAATCAAAGAATACAAGCACCAGAGTTGCCCTTAGTCTTATAATCCCCAATCCTCTTCAGATCACACTAGTGAGGAGTGGCAATACCTGTGAACCCAAATGGGGTCACACACATAAACAGACAAGATGAGTGGTCTTTTAAATCCAAGGACTTTAATCCTGGCAAAGAACAAACAGAGCTCTGCCAGGAGCAACAAGCCTTCAGGTTTATCCTTAGTGCGTCACTTTTGGAACTGCTTGTGGCACCACAGGAGCTCTGGTGGCGCAGTGCCTAAGGCATTTGACTGCCAACCAGAAGGCTGGTGGTTCAAACCCACCAGCCACTCCTCAGAAGAAAGGGTGGGTAATCTACTTACAGAGAGATACTGCTTCAGAAACCCAAGGAGGGGTCGCTGTGAGTCAGGGCCAACTCCACGGCATATAACAACAACAACAAACTGCCTCGGAAACCCAAGGAGGGGTCGCTGTGAGTCAGGGCCAACTCCACGGCATATAACAACAACAACAAACTGCCTCGGAAACCCAAGGAGGGGTCGCTGTGAGTTTGTGTGTGTGTGTGTGTGGCATCACAGCCACACGGCTGCCACCTAGTGTCTAAGGTCCTCAATACAAGTCCTGGTGCCTCTGGCCAGGGCACATAGGGCTAGGTGTGTGCTCTGTAGCATGGGACTCCCAATACCTTCTAGGTCACAACAGCCCTCAAACCTAGTACTGGGGGCAAAGCAGAGAGACAGGGCAAGTGGCATCTCAGGGAAAGAAGCAGAGCTGTGCAACAGTCGTAAAAGTGGTCCTGTCAAAAGAGGAAGTCACAGGATTGAGGTATTTTTATCAACAAGCAGCCGAAAGTCCCACTTGCCACTGTCCATGTGGTCCCCTCAGGAAAGCCTTGGCCTGCCCATGCAATGCAGGGTACAGCAACTGAGCCTGGGCATAATGGAGGCAGTTGGCGACTTTGATCTGCACTGAAGGCAGGTGCCTGAAAAATGCCTCTCAGGAACTTCAGCAGCTATGTGGATTATCTCCTTTCCCCATCCATCTTGCTGAATTAAGGGAAATTTTAATTCTTGAATATGCAAAATAAGGTTCTAGCTGCCCAATATCCTCCAAGACTTGGTTCAAACAGCTATCTACTTCATGAAGTCATCACTAAACTCCCTAGGTGGGAATATCCACCTGGTGGTATAGTGCCTAAGGCATCTGACTGCTAACCAGAAGGCCACCAGCCAACTCCTCGGAAGGCAGGTTGGGCAATGTACTTCCATAGAGATACCGCCTCGGAAACCAAAGGAGGGAAGGGTCGCTGTGACTCGACGGTAGGTTTTTTTTTTTTTTTTTTTTGTTTGGAACCCATGCTTCTTCCTATATTCATTACTTGGCTCTGTTATGTATTAGAGGCAGGATCTTCCAGGTTTCTGCCCCTACATTAGAGTGAAAGCACTTTAGAGTTACTGCCCCTGGAGCATGGCTTGGTGCTCTGTGGATGCACAGTGTTTGATAAATGAACAAATGAAGGGCCTCAGCAGGGTAAAAAGAAACAGGGTGAATTCGAAAATGTTTTTCTAGATTAAACCCATGCCCCCTGCCATTAAGTCAATTCTGAATCACAGCAACCCTATAGGTCAGAGTAGAACTGCCTCAAAGGGTTTTCAAGGCTGTCGATTGTTAAGCAAGCAGATTGCCTCATCTTTCTCCTGCAGAGCAGCTGGTGGGCTTGAACCACTGACCTTCTGGCTAGCAGCCAAACACCTTAACCACTGTGCCATCAGAGCTCCTTTTTCTAGATTAGTTTAGACTAAATCCTGGCAGGTTGGGCAATCCTACTTCCGTAGTGATACTGCCTCGGAAACCCAAGGGGGGGTCGCTATGAGTCGGGGCCGACTCGACGGCACATAAAAAAAAAAAAAAAAAAAATCCTGGCATATCCCAGCAGGCCTCAGATCATGATTCTTTCCGTGGAAGTCATTCTGCAACCTTTAGTTTCCAAGCCAATTTGCTGCACTCAGAAAGGCCTAACCAGCAACACAGCCCAGACTGCTCCAGCCCTGAGGTAAAGGTTTCTCTGCCATACGCCACTTCTGTGCCCACTAGCTCGTCAGGAATATAGTCCCTTTAGAGACTAAGCAAGTGACAGAAACATGTATGTACACAAAGAATACACAAAGCACCTTCAGACTAAGGAACACCTCACACTATACCACCACCCCACCCCAGCAGAGAGAAGAATCTGATTGACCTGCTCATCTCATAAGCAGAACCCACAGGTGAATTGCCCTCTGCTCCTCCAGAAAAGCCACCTCCACTCCCACGCAGAACCTAGGCCAGTGCCTGGCACTCAGCTGACCAGGAATAGCTGTTGTGGATGAGTTCGATCACCATGAAGGTGGCAAGAACCCAGGCCACTGTAAACTGCAGACCCAGGCAACCAGCAAAAAGACACTGCCCTCATCAGGCCCTCAAAGGGGAGAGGCAAGAGATTCCATTCCACAAATCACAATTCCTGCTATTACACTTCCTTTTTGAGGAAGTGTCCTTTTCCTCCAAGGTACAAGTTGGAGGCCAGCACTCTCAGGACAGTGCTCAAAACAAGTCAGTTCAGACATGGAACCAACCTTGGAGCCTGGCAGTGCTTCATACATCCATTAGCAAGGACACCTGAAGTGGTACAAATGTTGGGCAGCAGAGCTATTGCATTTTTTGTTTGTTTGTTTGTTTTTCCCCCATCTCAAATTTATAAATTCAGATAACATCAAAAAGATCAGAGCTGGAAACAATCTTAGGGACCATCCAATCCAACTCCCCCCCCCCTTTTCACAGATGACCTCAAGCAGTGTCAAAATGCCCCAAACAACTCGCGTAGCCAGAGGCAGAGTGGGGTTGAGCACCCACGTGCCTGACTCTGGGCCCACTGCTCTCTCTATTCCAGCATATCATATGCTGCCCAGGGTTGTGCTAATGTTAACTACTGAACTTAGGAGTACCTCCTTGGGAACTGGAGGCCAACTACTCTATTTGGTCACATAGGGCATCACAAAAAGAACCTATCCCACGAGGCTTTCCGACATGAAAAGGACTCCCTCTAATAACAGTATCTCTATTTCCTGGCTACACTTGGCACCACAAGCCCCACTGAAGCTTGGTAAAACACAGACGTGTCCTAATCAAATGGATTTATTTTTTTTTAAATTCTGAAAATGAAACACCTCATACCTGCCCCTTCTTCCTGTCTTTTATAGTGGTTTTTCCCTTCTTTTGAAATGCAAAAGAATTTGTCCATAGGGAGGTGGGTGGGTGGGGCCCCATCCTCAGCAGCAGCAGCCGGTTCTTGGCACCTCCACCCTGTGGCCCACAGGTTCCTGGCGCCTCCACCCTGTGGCCTGTGGGCCGCTCAGACTAGCACCAGCAGGTAACTCCACTGAAGGCAAGGCTGAGACCAGGAGACAAGGTGCGGGAACTCCATCTGCATGCTCTGCTCCTGTATTCTCTCTCTGGAAACCATTTAGTCTAGAAGTGAAGCCTCCACATTGCCCATGTCAACTACACAGAAGCCCCACGGATGCTCTTGCTTTGTCAGGAAGACGTGCTGTCCCCCACAGTGCACTGGGAGGGGCTCACTCCCGAGAGACTCAGTGCGTGGCTGAAACCCCAGGATGCAGATTGTGACAAAGATGAAATGATCCACATGCTGGTTTCCTTCCAAGCCCACGGTCTCCAGACCACCTCTATGTCTCACCTCCCAAAAAGGTCAAGACCACACCTCCGTCTGCTTTTCTCTGTGCTTTAGATGCCTCAGGTCCCAGCACTGGAACCTAAAAAAAACAAAAGCCCACATGTTGGTTTGACAGCAGACACTGAAGTCGCCAACTCCAGCCAGTTTCTGGTCCTTTTGCTGGTGGCACACCAGTTTCTCTTCCTTCCCCACAACAGTGCATGGCCCACGGTACAACGGCATGCTCTCATGGGCTCCGGCACAACAGCGGCAACAGGAATCCCTCCTCAGGACAACATTTCCAGCTGTGGCCCCAGGCCACCTGGAGGCTCTCATCTCTGTTCCGCAGCTAAAATGTTCCCTTCTTCAATGCTCTGCAACTGGAGCCGCTGGCTTGCCAGAGTTCGGCTGCCTCGGCGGCCCCCACAGCCAGCACCCAGGACAGTCCGTGCTGTGAACAAGACCCCTGGCAAAGCCTCCTCCCCAAACAAGTTGATTTTGGCTTCAGCCTCAATAGCTTTGGCCAAGCTGGCTGCATAACTGTCCAAGGACTTGTGCACTTCAGCTTTCACATGAAGAATAGAGTTCTTGGCAGCTTCTGAGAAAGAAAGCAGAAGAAAAAGTTAGCCAGGGAGCCAGGACCAATAACTAGCCCAGGAATCTGCCTGCTGTGCCTACACAGCCCAGAAATAAAATAAAATAAAATAAAAAACAAACTTACTGCCGTCAAGTCAGATCCAACTCATAGTGACCCCACCTTGGGTTCCCGAGGCAATATCAATCACTACAGAAGTAGATGGTCCAACCTTCCTTTTGAGGAGTGGCTGGTGCGTTTGAACAGCCAGCCTTTCGATTAGCAGTCAAATGCACTTCACCACCAAAGCTCCCACAGAGCCCAGGGAGGGAGGCAAATGGGGCTTCAGGGCATGGCCTGTGAGGTCAGATTCCCTACATTAAAGTCCTTGACTCCCCTACTTACTATCCAGGAACTCTGCTAAATTTATCTTTGGTAAATAGGAAATAATAATATACCTCTTACTTCACAGGGTTACTATGATCATTAAATTAGATAATTCCATCTAAGATGCTTAGCCCAGGTCTGGCCCATAGGAAGAACTTGATAAATGCTTTGTATTAGTGATAATCAAAACTTTTACATGTTTGAAAAGAGTTCTCTGGCTTTTCAGCTCCCTGTAGCAGTTTAATATTTACAGCTATCAATTTTGACAAACCTGAATGCCATCTTTCCTCTCCACACATACCCAGAAATTCCCCAAAGTTGTGGGGAACAGCAGGGTTGGAAGCAACATTAAAGTTTGGCACACCCTCTCCAGGACTAGAATTCCTGACAAGTAAAATGAAGAGAAGAGAGAAAGCTGTTGGGTTTTCCATTTCCTCCCCAGTGCCCTAGTATTATTAAGCCCACTGCCTAATTATCTCTGGACACTGGGGGTGGGGGGACAATTTATTCCCCACTCCTCACATTTTTTGGAGAGTAAGTAACTTCCACCCCCATGCTCCACGAGGGAAAGACTAGGAGAAACGTTTCAGGCCTCTCCCTGTCCTGCCTCTCACATGCTTTCCTCACAGGAAAGGAGACGTATGCTGACAGATGCCTGTCTCTCCTTTCCTCCTGCTGTGAGGGTGCTGTCTGATACGCTGTCCTAGAGTAGACTTGCTGGGGCAAACATGGCCCAACATGGCCTGGGATGCTGGGCAGGGGCTCAATTCATTTTTCTTATATGAGGGTAACATATTAGAAAGCCCATGTGGCTGCAAGTCTAAACTCTATTCCTCAGTCCACTTCACCAATAAAGCAAGTGATTTGCTGTCTCTCTTTGACTTCTGTGACTGTCTCTCAATTCGTTCTGAATTCAGGGAGTGGGTGGAAGATAAAGTGTGATGAATGATGAATCTATGAACAAAGGCCCCTACTTATTTCCATACTTCAGCATTTCCATCTGGAAGTCCCTGTACTCCTTCATCACATCCACAACCAAGTCAGGCTGGTAGGTGTCCTTACTTTGCAAGATTCAGAGGCAATGAAAGACTTTTCTCTGTGGGCAGCCTGGATGGCGCCTCCTTTGTTACTGTTCTAATCAGCATGTATGCATAGGAAGCCTTTGGCCCAGCCTCAGATACTGCCTGCACTGACAGCTGCATCCAAAGCCCTGGAGGATTCTGGGTAGAGGCATGGTTGGGCCACGGAATTTTCCTAAGGCTCTTCTCTTTCTCCTGTTTCCCTGAAGTGCTCAGTCACAGAAACCAACCTTTGATCTGTTCCACTTCATCCTCAAATGTCACTGAGCTCCTTCGCTTGGGTGGGCAAGTGCAGTGTGAGGGCGGGTTGTCATCAGACGTGTAGTCTTCAAGCAGCATCACATCCGTTCCTACAATGAAGGGCAGATTGTACATTCATCACCGGCAATCAAAGTCTTCCTCCCCCTGTCAATCTGTTCCTCTCCTCCTCCTTCCTTTTCTCAACACCCCTGGCAGCCAACTCAGCTCTCCCATTTATATATATATATA